TCCTGAGGCTGCAGTACTTTAAGTACCACTCACGCAGCTGCTGTGAGGAGAGAGTTCCTCCAGGTGTAGCACTCCCAGGCTCAGCACCCCCAGACTCAGCACCCGCAGGCTCCGCACCCCCAGGCTCAGCACCCCCAGGCTCAGCACCCCCAGACTCCGCAACCCCAGGCTCCGCACCCCCAGGCTCCGCACCCCCAGGCTCCGCACGCTCAGGCTCAGCACCCCTAGCAGGACGAGAGTCGACAGCTTCCTCGACAGGCTCAACCGGGTCTACCTGGGACACACCTGAGGGAGCGGCACCCTGAGGGGGGAGGGGGTCTACCACAGCAGCACCTGGCGCGAGGAAGAGAGGCAGGGGGGGGAGCGGGGCAGTGCGGTAGGGGAAGAGGCGGTAGTAGGGCACCGACTCGTCAAAAGTGACGTCCTGAGAGGGCAGGACACGGCGCGAGGTGGCGTGGTAAAACTGCCAACCAGACGCGTCCGGGACAAAGCCAAGGAAGACACAAGGAACAGCGCGGGAGGAGAGCTTGTCCGCGGACGTATCGCGGACAAAAGCTCGAGATCCCCAGACCCGGAAACGCGACGCATCGCCAACCTCCCCCGTCCACAGCAGTGTGGGCGAGGTCTCCGGCAAGGAGACACGGGGCCAGAGGTTGAGCTGATGCGCAGCGTACCGGACCGCAAACGGCCACAGAAAGTGGGGGGCAGCCGCATGGATCAAGGAGGTACGAGCGACCTCCATGACCAAGCCAATGTGGCGCTCAGCAACCCCATTCTGCTGTGGAGAGGCCGGAAGCGTGAACGACTGGCGGATGCCGTGCTCCGCACAGTAGGCTGCCAAGAGGTCGGAGGAGAACTCACCACCTCTGTGAGAGTGCAGACGCAGGACAGGAAAGTCCGAGTGGAACCGCTCGCTGAGCTGGAGACGAGAAGCGCGGATCCAAGGGATCAAAACATCAGGGACCTCACCCTTGGTGCGCAAGGGGAAGACCGTGGTGTAGCGCGAGTAGTCGTCAACAACGATCAGGAAGTATCTCTCCTGACCCTGTCCACGGACGCGGGCTGGGCCCCACACGTCCATGTGGAGTGTCTGCAAGGGAGCAGTCATCGGGGGAAACGAGGAGGAGTGAGGAGCGGCGCGCTGCCGCCCCTCGACACAGGGAAGACAGGGAGGAGCAGGAGAGGGTGGGAGGGGAGGGAGTACCCGGGGAAGACCAGAGACAAGGTACCGTTTGTGCATGCCACGAAGGCGCTGCACTGACGGGTGACCAAGGCGGTGGTGCCAGAGGACGGTCTCGTGTGCTAGAGAGCGACACGAGCAGGGGGCAGACAGCTGACCTGAAGCAGACGCAGACGCAGCTACCTGAGGGGACTCAGTGGTCAGTGTGTACAGGTCCGACCCCGGCTGCCGAGTGAAGGTAGCCAGGTGACGGCCCGTCCGAGCACACGTGCAGTGTGTCACGCGCTCGTAGGCAGGGGTGAACTGGTGGACACCCCCGTCCTGGAGCGCACAACCCGCCACCAAGTTCGTAGAGAACGAGGGGAGGTGGAGACCTGATAGTGTGCCCGACGGAACCGCAGGACAAGGAAGGACAGTGGAGGAGGTCGCAATGACCGGACCCCCAGAGGGGTCAGCAAGGGAGACAGCAACTGGCCGAGCAAGCTGCTCAAGGGCAGTGCGGTCACGAAAGAAACAGCGAGAAGCACCTGAGTCCAGTGTGAAGGTGTGCAGTGCCTCAGTAGACTCAGTACCAGGGGGGGCAGACTCACTAGCACCTAGAGTAGCAGACTCACCAGCACCTGGGGCAGCAGACACGCGAGTACCTGGAGCGGCAGCCTCACCAGCACCTAGGGCAACCGACGCACTAGCACCTAGAGCGGCAGCCTCACTGGTCCGAATGCCCGGGTCGGGCGGAACACGCAGGTACTGATCACCCTCTCCACTAGTAGACAACACATACATGGCAGTGAGAATAGCATCAAAGTCAAGAGCATAGATATCAATGTTCTTCTTCATCAGGTCAGCCCAGCGGGGCAGCTCAGTGGCCGTAGGGAACTGAGTGCGCCAAGCGTCGTCAAGGCGGGAGAAGCAGCGCTGCGTGGTGTGCGCCCTCCCACACGTCTGGCCAGTGCGGCCACCAGTGCGGATGACGTACGTGCAGCTAAGGCCACCCCCCCCCCCCCGTGCTGAGAGTACCACTCACGAAGCTCCTGGGACGACGGAGTGTGCTGCTGGCTCTGGCCACCGCCAGCGCCTCCACGACCACCACCGCCGCCGCCACCACCTCGACCACCACCGCCCCTGCCGCCTCCGCGTCCACCGCCACCCCAACCACCGCCCCCACCCCGGCCACCTCCTCCGCTGCTGCCGCCACCACCCCCACCGCTGCCACTAGCCCCTCCAGCCCCGCCACCGCCCCCACCGCCGCCACCGCCCCCACCACCGCCTCCCCCGCCGTCACCTCCACCTCCCTTGCCCCCTTTGCCCTTGCCGCTGCGGCGCCAGCTCGGAGCGGACGCAGTCCCGACCTGCTCAGTACCAACGAGGTCGACAGCAGCAGCAGAGGCAACAGAGGGGAGAAGGGGGGAAGGGGAACACCCCTCGAAGAAAGGGGTGCGGGGGTCGCCACGAGAGGCAGCTACAGCGACTATGCTAGTCTCAGCTGCAAGCAGTTCCTTCTCGAGCAGGTCAACGGTGAGCTCAGTGGGGCAGCGAGCGAGGAAGTGGTCCCTGACTGCACGAAGAGAGTCAGGGAGACGGGTGACCAGGTGGTAGAGAGTGAGCCAGAGCGGGGGGGGGTGGGTGGCAAGAAACTCAGCGGGCATAGCGGCACGGAAGCGGGCCTCACTAGTGCGGAGGTGCGTGATGAGGTCAGCGACTGTGGAGAAAGCGGACAGGTCGGGGAACAGGTAGGGGAGCGAGAGACGGCCTAGCGCAGCAGAAGCAGGTGAGGAGTAGCGTGCCACTACAGCAGTGTACAGTGCCTGCGCTGTTTTGTGCTGGCCAAAGTGCTCACGCTCATCGATCGGCAGGGAGTTGCGAATAGCGAAGCGTGTGTGGGCGTCACGAGTCTGCCACTGTGAACGGGCAGTACTGTGAGCAGTAGCAGCAGGGGCAGCAGCATGGCCTAGCGCGTGATCGTACAGTGAGATATCCTCCTTGGCAGTGAGCTGGAGGAATAGGTGCAGGTCATCGAGCCAGGTCTCAAACTTCAGTGGGCGGCCCTCAGCATCGAAAGCTAGTACAGAGGGACTAGCCATAGTTGTAGTAGCAGCAGTAGTAGAAGCAGCAGTAGGAACTGTAGCAGTAGTAGCAGTAGTAGTAGTTGGTGGGGCACAGTAGGGCGGCGCGGCGCGGTTCGGGCGGCGCGGCTCGGTTCGGGCGGCGTGGCTCGGTTCGGGCGGCGCGGCTCGGCTCGGACTGGGCTACGCGGCGGTGCGCGACGGGGGGCGTGCGCGTGGGCGGCTGTAGCGGGCGGGCCGTGGCTGTGCGTGGGCCTGACTAGCGCGCGGACGGCGGTCTAGAGGGGCGACGCGGCGGCCTAAGGGCGGGGCTGCGTCGCTCTGGACGGCTGGCGACGGGCGGCTAGCGGGCCGCTCGTGGGCGGCGCTCGTCGCGCAGGCGGCTAGGGGTCGGCGCGCGCTCAGGAAAGGCCGCGCGTGGGCCGCTAGCGGGTTACGCGCGCGAAGAAAAACGGGCCGCGCGCGGCACTAGCGAGCTGCGCACGGGCAGCAGGAGAAGGAGAGGCGCACGAGGGCGCACTAGGAGAGAGGCGCTCGAGGGCGTTAATGCATTAAGGCGCTCGAGAGCGCTTCTAGCGGAACGGTGGGCCCTATCGTTCGGTCCTAGGTTACGACCTAGGCTCGTAATACCATGTTAGAATCTTAGAGAGAACAAGAATGAATGAACTAGCAGAAAGTTGGGTACAAGTAGGAAACCCTAAGTTTGTTGTACCCCCTATGGCTGAACCCACTATAGCCTACACAATATAAACATATAATGTTTGACAGAACCACCCCCCTTTCTAGCCACTCACATGGCGTGTACTAGAGTACTACAGAAGCACTCCCGGCAGTGGGGACCTGCGGGTCCAAAGGGTGGAGCCCCCAGGTGTGGCTCAGCTAGCAGTGGGCGAGACGTCGGCCCCTGCGGGTACCGGGCCCTGACAGGCCCTGGTGCTGGCACCACCTGCTGGAGTCCTGACCACTCTGCGTCCAGCTGCTACCGTCGACTCGACGACCTCCACCGTGAGCGTTTTGGTCCTCACGCTATTACACCGCACTGGCCCTCGCGTCTTCGCCAGCGCCCTTCTGCACCAGTTGAGTGTCACCTGCCTGGTCTAGGACCGTTCCCGGCTGCACGAGTAGAGACATGTGTTTCCAGTCTTGGTGCGTGTGTTGTTTCCAGTCCAGGCGCCTCTGAGGGTCTTTGTGTAGGAGCTGCAGCTACCACTAGTCTAGCACCAGCCTTTGTAGCTGGTTCGGGTGCGACCTCACAGACTGCACAGCTTTCCTTCACCCTAGACTCTGGAGCGTCCAGCTGTTTCTTTCGCGATTGTACTGACCTCACACCACTGCGCACTCCAGTCACTGTCGCCTTGGCTGACCCCTCTGTGGGACCTGTTGTTGCTCGCAGCACCACCACTCTCCCGTGTCCGTCGGCTCCCTCAGGTTTTCTTACAGGTTACTACACCCCCTCGTTCTCTAGGAACCTGGTGGGTGTCAGTCACCTCCACGACCTAGGTGTAGTCACCACTTTCCCACTGGACGAGCCTGTTGCCTCCTGCACAGTCGGTACCACTGGGGCCCCTCTGGCCACTTTTCACAAGGAGCCGGGCTCTGGTTTGTACTCACTATACACTGGGTCCCACCGCACTTGGTCAGGCCAGGTCAGGTCAGGTCAGGTAGCTGCTGTGTCGTGCGACTGTCGCTCCCTCACCCACCCGTCTGTCCTCTGGCACCACCGTCTAGGTCACCCGTCGTTCCCACGTCTCAGTAGGATGGCACGTTACCGTCTGGTCTCAGGTCTCCCAGAGCCGCTTGCCCCGCTTCCTCGCTCGCCTGCGCCGATGTGCACTCCTTGCGTCGAGGGTCGGCAGCACGCTGCCCCTCACTCCTCCTCGTTCCCCCCCACCACGGCTCCCTTCCAGACCCTGCACTTGGACGTCTTGGGCCCCTCCCCGGTCCTTGGACCACGTCAGGAGCGCTACTTCCTGATTGTGGTGGACGACTACTCCCGTTACACCACGGTTTTCCCTTTGCGACGGAAGGCCGACGTGCCTACCGTCCTCGAGCCGTGGCTACTAGCGTGGGGTGGCGCCCAGGGCCTGTGTGGGCTCCGCCTACACTCGGACCGTGGTGGTGAGTTTTCTTCCACTCGCCTGGAGACGTTCTGTCAGGGTCGGGGGATCATCCAGTCTTACACGCTACCAGCCTCGCCGCAGCAGAACGGGGTAGCCGAGCGACGCATCGGCCTGGTCATGGAGGTTGCCCGGACCTCCATGTGCCATGCCGGTGGCCCCCAGTTCTTGTGGCCTCAGGCAGTCCGCTACGCCGCGCACCAGCTGAACCTGTGGCCCAGTGACGCACGGCCACGGGTGACGCCGGTCTCCCTTTGGACAGGTTCTCCGGGCGTAGCAGCTGACTTCCGCGTCTGGGGTTGTCTGGCTCACGTTCGCGCCCCTGGCGCGAACAAGTTGTCTCCGCGCACTCGTGCCTGCGTCTTTCTTGGCTTCACGTTGGACGCCTCCGGCTGGGTGTTCTACGACCCGGTCACCTACCAGTTCTTCGCTTCTCAGGACGTCACGTTCGACGAGTCTGTCTGTTACTACAGGAGTCGCCCCCACCGAGGTACTGAGGCCTTTTTCCCCCCGCTGTTCCTCACCCTTGAGCCCCCACCAGTCGCCTCGGTAGCCCCCCCCCCTTCGCGTCCTGCCCCGTCAGGTGTGTCGCACGTCACTCCGCAGTCGTCCCCCCCGCAGCGTCCAGTCCCTGTCATGTCTGGGGGTGCGGGACGTGCAGTTGCGGAGGGTGAGGGTACTGGGGCTGCACGAGCTGGTGGTGTCGGCTCTTGGGGTGCAGGGGTTGTGGGCGTGGAGGTCACTCCTGTGGAGGACACGGCAGCCTCTAGTCGGCGGCCTCGCCCCGCCTCACCCCCTGGCTTCCCGTCCGTCCCGCAGTTTCCTCCTCGTTCTTCTCTGCGGCCGGTTGCTGCGGAGCTTGGGGGTGTTCCTGCGGGAGGTACTGGAGGCCCCGGGGGTGTCGGTGGTGGAGGTGCTGGTTTTGGGGGTGCTGGAGCTGGAGGCACTGGCACTGTGGCGCCTACACCGCGCAGTGTACGTTTCCTGACCCATGAGCAGCGTCTCCTCCAGTTGGAGAGGGAGGAGCGTGAGCGGTTTGAGAGGGCACAGCAGCAGCAGCAGCAGCAGCAGCAGCAGCAGCAGCAGCAGGAGGAGAGAGTAGAGGAGGAGTCACAGCCGCAGCAGGAGAGGGTAGAGGAGGAGTCACGGCCGCACCAGGAGCGGGTAGAGCAGGAGTCCTACCCGCAGCAGCAGGTGCAATTACAGACCCAGCAGGAGAGAGTAGAGGAGGAGTCACAGCCGCAACAGGAGAGGGTAGCGCAGGAGTCCCGGTCGCAGCAGCGGGTGCAGCTGCAGTCGCAGCAGGAGAGGGCAGAGGCGGAGCCACAGGAGCAGCAGCAGGGGCCGGTACCGTCGCAGCAGACGCCAGAGGAGGCGGAGCAGCAGCGACTGCGACTACGCGACCTCCCCGACCCAGCACCTGCACGCTTTGTTCGTGGTCCCCTACCGTCCCCTCCTGTTCCAACTGTTGAGTCCCTTTCCTCGTCTCAGTGGACTCGTCGTCCTCCCCTCAGTCGTGATGTGTCCCCAGAGCGTCGTCGGTCCCGTTACCGTGCAGACGGTCCGTTCCACCTTGTTCTTCGCTCTCGTGTTCCACCTCCTCCTGTCCTTCCACAGCCCCCTGAGTCGTCCCTCACTGTGCTTCACGACCCGTTGTCCGACTACCTCCGTGCCTCCCGTCCTGTCGTCTCCCGTGTTTTGTCCGCGTTGGTCTCTCACCCGACTGCACCCCTGTCGTCTGTCTCGGCTCTTGTTACCACTGTCGCTGGCTTTGCCTCTTTCCCACCGCCTTGACTACGCCGCTCACGTGGTGAGTGGCCCTGCTCGTTCTCCGTTCTCTGGGGGTGCTCCTGTCTTTCCCTTGGAGGTCCTCGAGGACAGGCAGTTCGAGCTTGGTTTCCTTGCGGCCGCTGTTCCTCATCTCTGCGCCATGCTACTTGCCCCTGAGGGGGATCCAGACGCCCTTGACATCCCGATCCCTCGCACTCACGCCGAGGCGGTCTCGGGACCCTGGGCTTCGTACTGGATAGCAGCTGAGGAGGCAGAGATGGCATCTTATAGGTCCACAGGCACTTACGTCGACGCAGTCCCACCACTTGGGACGAACGTCGTCAGTGGCCGATGGCTCTACAAGGTGAAGCGGCCGCCTGGATCACCACCTGTGTTCAAGGCGCGCTATGTGGCGAGAGGCTTCAGTCAGCGAGAGGGGGTGGACTTCTTCCAGACCTTCGCTCCCACCCCGAAGATGAGTACTCTTCGGGTGTTGCTGCATATTGCAGCCCAGCGCAACTACGAGTTGCACTCCTTGGACTTTTCCACCGCGTTCCTTCAGGGGAGCCTGCACGAGCAGATCTGGCTGCGTCGCCCGCCTGGCTTCACTGGCTCTTTCCCACCTGGGACCCAGTGGCAGCTGCGTCGACCCGTCTACGGCCTGCGTCAGGCCCCACGTGAGTGGCACGACACACTTCGCTCGACCCTTGCAGCTCTTGACTTCTTTTCGTCGTCTGCTGACCCGTCACTGTTCGTTCGCCGTGGCTCGACCCCGTTCTTTGTCTTGGTCTATGTCGACGACCTGGTGTTCGCCACTCCCGACCGACGCGCGCTGGCCTCCGTGAAGGAGGAACTGCAGAGGAGACACACTTGCACTGACCTTGGTGACCTGCAGCACTACCTTGGCTTGCAGATCACCAGGGACAGGGCAGCTCGCACCATTACGCTGACTCAGTCGCATATGGTCGAGCAGATCCTCACGCGGTTTCGCTTCCCGTTCTCCAAGGTACAGCTCACCCCTCTTGGTGTGGATCATGGGCTCACGGCTCCACCTTCGGACGAGCCATTTGAGTCCAGCGGTCCATATCCTGAGCTGGTGGGTTGTCTCATGTACCTGATGACCTGTACTCGCCCAGACCTAGCTTACCCTCTTAGCGTCCTTGCGCGCTTTGTTGCGCCCGGGAGACACCGACCTTCCCACTGGTACGCGGCTAAGAGGGTGGCGAAGTATGTGGCGAGTACATCAGGCATGGGACTTGTCCTTGGAGGGAAGTGTTAAAGTTTAGAAGAAAGAAGAGAGAAGAAGAGGATTGCACTAGCAAGAATGGGGATACAAATAGGAAACCCTAGAAGGGTTGTACTCGCTATAGAGCACCCCACTACAGGCTAGAGCATAAGATAACATTCTGACACACCCCCATAGCCAAAGTGGGGTGTAATCAGCAGAGCAAGAAAAGCAGTACAAGCTCAGGGTGGATCACAATGTCACCACACATTCTGAGCACAAGTTCAAGAAGGAATAGTTTAAAGGGTACAATTATGAGCAAAGCTAGTGGTAGTCACAACGGGCAAGCGAGGAGGAGGAGAGAGAGTGAGGGGAGAGGAGATAGGAGGCGACGGCTGAAGCTGCAGACACACGGGCAACAGGAGGCAGACTGGCACAGCGGCTACCGGACTAAGCGCCCGGACTACAGGAGTAACAGGCCCCGCGGCTAAAGTAGCGGCAGACGAGCAACGGACCCACGGGCGGCTGGCGTAGAAGTCTACGACTGGGCTACCGGACGAAGTCCCCGGACTACAGGTGCTGCTGGCGACACGACGGCAACCTCCGTGCAACTTCCCCAAACAGTCTCACCCCCCCGACACACACCCGCTGCTACACCGCTAGCTCCACTCCCACGCACCCCCCTTAAACCCTAAACCCCAGTCTCCCACACAACCACCCCCCTCAGCGACAGCTGCAGCAGTGGGAGACGAAGGAGGAGGAGGAGCAAAGGGAGGAATGCACACCGGCCACCCCCATACCCGCCACCCCACAGCTCGCCCCTCCCGTCGCCTGTCGAGGCGACCTGAGGGGGCCGCTTGCGGCCCCCGAAGGAGCCGCGACGGGCGACGGGAAAAGGTGAAACCCGAAGGAGGGGGGGGGGGGGGGGAGGCGGGGCCGGGGCCGGGGCCGCGACAGGTAGGGCGACGGGCCGCACGTAGGGCGGCGAGACGACGGGGCCGCGGCCAGAGGTGGCGGGGCCGTGAAGGAAAGCGGCGGGGCCGCGATGGTGGGGCGGCGGGGCCACGATCGGAGGTGGCGGGGCCGCGACCGGAGGTGGCGGGGCCGCGAAGGAAAACGGCGGGGCCGCGAGAGTGGGGCGGCGGGGCCGCGACGGGTCCCCGTCGCCCGTCGCGGCGCCTCCAGAGGGCGACGCGACGAACGACGGGGCAGAAGCCCGTCGCGCGCCTCGGGGCGCACAGCGGGCAGAGAACCGCCGCGCGCCTCGGGGCGCACGGCGGGCAGAAAACCGCCGCGCGCCTCGGGGCGCACGGCGGGCAGAAAACCGCCGCGCGCCTCGGGGCGCACGGCGGGCAGAAAACCGCCGCGCGCCTCGGGGCGCACGGCGGGCAGAAAACCGCCGCGCGCCTCGGGGCGCACGGCGGGAAGAAAAACTGCCGCACGCCACGGGGCGTGCGGCACAGAGAGTAGCAGTAGCAGTTGCAGCGGAAGCAACAAGGTGGTGAGCCCACCCACAGGATCGATCCAAGGGGATCGACCTGCTCTGATAGCATGTTAAAGTTTAGAAGAGAGAAGAGAGAAGAAGAGGATTGCACTAGCAAGAATGGGGATACAAATAGGAAACCCTAGAAGGGTTGTACTCGCTATAGAGCACCCCACTACAGGCTAGAGCATAAGATAACATTCTGACAGGAAGCAGCCAGTTACACTCACAGGTTACTCGGACTCGTCATGGGCCGACGACGCGGAGACGCGTCGGTCTACACAGGGGTACTCCTTTAGCCTCGGGGCAGGTGCTGTTTCGTGGCGGTCGACTCGGGCATCGTCTGTCGCCGGTTCCAGCTGTGAGGCAGAGGTGTACGCTGCGGCCATGGCCGCTCAGGAGCTTCGCTGGCTGTCTTTCCTTCTCACCGACCTTGGTGAACGGCCTCGCTCAACCCCAGTCTTGTTCGCCGACAACAGGTCTGCTGTCCTGTTGTGTGAGGAGCCCCGACTGGTTGGGAAGGCGAAGCACATCCAGCTTCGTTACTTCCTTCTGCGTGAGTTGCAGCAGCGTGGCCAGGCCCGCGTGGTTCGTGTGGTCTCTGAGGCCAACACTGCAGATATCTTCACCAAGGCGTTACCGCCTTGTGACCACCAGCGTTTCTGCACCCAGCTTGGCCTTGTGCCTACCCGTCCTCACTTGCTTACGTAGAGATGCCTTGTCCTGCATGTCTTGTACTCTTGCATCTCTATATATTTGCTATATACCTGCATGTGGACTTGCCTTGTGGCCCCTTGCTTGCTCTCGGAGTGTGTGGTGCCTTTGAGCTCCACCCTGAGATTTGTCTTGTTCTTGTGGGCTGGTCTTGTGACCGTTGCTTGCTCTTGTTGTTTCCACAGGACTACCGTCACCTAGACTATGGGGTGTGTCAAACTATGATTCTATAGTTTGTGTATTTCTAGTCTAGGTGTTCTCCCTTGTGTTATTTTGTACTTGCACTAGGGTTAGGTTTTGCATATATCTTCTTTGTACTTTCTGTTTTAGTCAATTTTACATTGTGACAGTAAGGTTGTAAAGAATGCCCTTGCCATCCACGAAGTTGGTGAACTTCTTCCCGAGGAACTCCCCTCTGCGGTCAGAGCGCAGCATCAGCACCGACTTCTTCGTCTGCCGCTCTGCCACCAGCAGCCACTTCTCGAACTCCCTTAGCACGTCAGACTTCTTGGCGACCGGCCTCACCCACGCGTAGCGGGTCTTGCGGTCCTTCAGCAGTAGGAAGTACAGGCTGCCATCCTTTGCGGCCACCCGGAACGGCCTGCACAAGTCGATGTGCACGACGGCCAGGGCCACGTCTGCGTCCGAGCCCTTGTCAGGGAAGGTGTGCCGTGCCAGCTTTCCGCCGACGCATGAAACGCACGGCAAGTCGTCGCCGGCCGACGGCTTGATGTCGAGGCTGATGGCGACCTCGTGCTTTGCCGAGCTCTTGATGCTGTCGACGCCGACGTGAGCGAGCCTCGCGTGCCACTTGGCAGGCGTCGACTTCGTCGCCGTAG